AGTAAGAGGATTTGGAAGTACTGAAAAATATTTGTTTTGAAAAACCATCATTAATGATCAAAGGCCCTCTCTTACTTTTTCTGTTAATCAAATTTCTTTTACAGGTCTTGTGGATATAGGAGCTAATGTGTCTATTATTAGTAAAAATAATTAACCTCTTAATTGGCCTTTGCAAAAAATTAACATTAACTCTTTCTGAATTAGGAACCTCTCCCAATGTTTGGAGGTCTAAGAATGTTTATGATTGTGCAGAACCTGATGGACAAAAGGCTCAGATGCAATTTTATGTACCAAACATTAGTGCTAATTTATGAAAAAAATTATTAAAACAATTTGGAGATTTTTTTGTCTATCTCGGCTTTGCCAGATGATATAAAAAGATGATGTAAAAAATACATGTTAAGGGGAGCTCTGGTGGCCTAGTGGCAAGGAGCTGCAACTACAATCATAGAGGCGCACGGTTCGAATCCACCAGATGCTCTGCTGGGGAAGGAGGGACAATCTCCTCTTGTACCAGTCAGATCTGAACTGACGGTACGCTCACACAAAAAAAATAAAATTAAAAAAATAAAAAAAACATGTTAAATATGAATCGCAGCCCCTTAATACTAAAGCCTTGCATTTATTAGTAGAAGAACAGTCATGTAAAGCTCATATAGAACCTGCAACTCCCTTGGGAATTCTCCTGTCTTTGTTATTAATAAGAAAAGTATTAAAACTCAGAAGTATTGAACGTCGTTAAAAATAAGAAAAAAGGTGTTAACACAAAAATATGAAGAAAAGTTGAAAATAAAAAGAAAAGTGTTATTACTTACAACAGAGGCCTCAAAATGTTTATGTTAATTGTTTTGTCCTGTCTTTTTTGTCTAAATTCATTTACTGTCTCCGTGTTCATTGTCTTTTCGTCTTATGTTTAATGTAGCAATACTTGAGCGCTCATACAGTTTAAAAGTTTCAGTGAAGAATAAGCATTAATAGAGACAAATATAAAGTTAATATCTATATAAATTCTAAATCTCATAGGTGGGGAAACCCCAAGAGCGGGTGTCTCAAATGTCTCAAGGCGCCACTCGAAAGGAGACCTTTTGCCTTTATCACCTTCACAAACCCATGCATTTTATCTGGTATCTACGTGCTTAAGTAAAAATTTCTATCTGTTTTAGCCAGTCTTAAAAAATACACATGCCTGTGGCTGCACTCCAAGTCTGTGTCAGTTGTGCCTGTGTTAGTTGCTGTATTTTAAATAAAAACCTGTAGGAGTAAAAATAGTCTTTGTTCTTTATAGCCCCTTAATTAATGCTTGCCTGTATTGAATCTGGTTGTATAAGTAAGAGCTGCATAGTTTAATAATCACTTTCCTTCTAATAGACTCTTCTCAATTCTTTAAGAACATACCTTTTTGCCTTTACCTATATGTATCATATCCTCTGTTCCTCTTAAAGGTCCTAATGTTTTTACAGATGTTTCTAATTGTGGAGAAATGGAATATTGGAGTATTAACAAATTCCATGTTGAATCATCTCCTTATAAATCAGTACAAAAAGGTGAATTATATGCTATTTTTTTAGCTTTAAAAAAATGGTGTAAAGAAAATATTAATACTATTGGTACTTCTTCCTATGCAGCATTTAAAAATGGCAGTTATTAAATGATGGCATTATTAGGGTGGTAAACACACATGAAATAATTTAGTATGTCTAAACTACTGAACAAAATATCATCTTAAGAATAAAATTAAAAGTTTTAACATGGTATAAAATTCAAAAGGAAAAGTAAAATAACTGACAATAACTTTTGTGTATTTTTTGTTTAAAAGAAAAAATGAAAGTAGTTTTGCTTTAAAATAGAATGTCTAGTTGTGCCAGAATATGAGTTAGTAAAAGCGAAATTGAGAGTATATGATAAGTTGTAAAAGGCATAGAGAAAAGTAAATCTTAGTGTATAAATTTGGAGACAAAGATAGAGGAGAACTGCGTTGAACCTCAAAAATTTCAAATTCATGTTAGTAATCTAAGAACACTAAGTGATTTCCAAAAATCACTAAAAAAATTAATTAAATTAAGCCATGTTTGGAACTAACTATGCAGGACATTTAACCTTTGTTTGATATTTTAATTAGAAACAATAATCCTAATTCTAGGAGAAAATGGACTATGGAGGCTCATGGGGCTTTGGGAAAAGTTCAGAATTCTATCTCTTCCTATTCTCTATCTTGTATAGATCATAGTGAAAAGTTATTGCTGTGTATTTTAAATGCTAAAAGGACTCCTACTGCTGTTTTGTGGCAGAATGCTCCCTTAAGATGAATTCATTTATCCCGTTCATCTAAAAAGGTTTTGCGGACTTGCCTACAGGCTGTATCTCAATTAATAGCACAGTCAAGAAAGACTATTTTGATATAAGACTTTATGAAATCATTGTACCTTATAATACTTTACAAGTTAATTGGCTATATCAATATTGTTCAGAATGGATAATTGTATTAGCCAATTATCCTGGTCAAATTACTCATTGTTATCCAAAACATAAATTATTATCTTTTGCTAATAAAAATTCATTTATATTTCCTAAAGTTTTTGTTAATCAACCAATTTCTGATGCTCTTGTAATATTTACTGATGGATCTTCTAAAGAAAAAGCTGTTTTTGGACCAATTAGAAATTTTAAACTAGTTAAATGGTCATCATTTTCAGCACAACAAGCCAAATTAAAAGCTATTAAGCAAGTATTAATAATTTACCCTCAGTGTTTATATAGTTAATGCACTTCCAATTTTTGATACAGTAAATATTATCAAAACAAAAAAATTCTATAGTTTTATAATTATTTCAACATAATCGATTATTAGTAAAAAAAAGAAATAATCATATTTTTATAAGTCATATTAAGCCTCTTTCTTCTTTACCAGAACCTTTAGCAAAAGAATATAAATTGGCTAATAAATATTTAATAAATTTTAATTTAACAAAAGCAAATAATTTCATCATAGTCATCATGCTAATAGTAAATATTTACATAAAATGTTTCATATTCTGAAAGAAACTGCTAAAGATATTGTAAAATCATGTGAAAAATGTTTATCTTTATTACCTGTTCCACATTTTAAAGTAAATCCCAGAGGATTATTGCCAAATCATATTTGACAAATAAATGTAGCTCATATTCCTAAATTTGAAAAATTGCAGTTTGTTCATGTTACTATTAGTATCAATTCCAGTTTTGTGGCATTATCTTGTTTATCTGAAATAGCAACTAAATATGTTATAAAACATTGTTTATTAGCTTTTTCTATATTAGAAATTCCTAAACTAATCAAGACTGATAATGCTCCTAGCTATACCAGTAAAAGATTTCAAAATTTTTGTACATATTTTACTGTCATAAAACTGAAATTCCTTACAATCCTCAAATACAAGGTATTGTAGAATGTACTCATTCTACTATCAAAAATTATTTAAATAAAGAAAGGGGGAACTATATCCTCTAAGTCCAAATAATTGTATTTCTCATTTACAATGTATTTTAAATTTTTTAATTTTGAATGACAATAAAAGGTCTGCCGCATACAGACAATGGGGAAACAGACAAGGAAAGTATGCTGAAATTAAATGGAAGGATGCATTAACAAAACAATGAAAAAGACCGGCCCTATGTTAATATGGGATCTTGGCTATGTTTGTGTTTTTCCACAGAACGCTGAAAGTGCAAAGTGCCTTGCTGAAAAGCTAGTACGCTTTGCAGAAGATGTCTCGCCTGACAGAAATAAGGATGGTGATATTGTTGACTCTGCCAATGAGGATCCAAGCTGAATCTTAAAGGACATATGTTCCAGATCTACCTTTACTTCACCCTGTCAGCTGGAGGAAAATGTTACTGCAGATTTGAACTTGTACGACTGGGCTCCATCAAATAAAGTCGAAGCTAAGGGGAGCTCTGGTGGCCTAGTGGTAAGGAGCTGCAACTACAATCCTAGAGGCGCACAGTTCGAATCCACCAGATGCTCTGCTGGGGAAGGAGGGACAATCTCCTCCTGTACCAGTCAGATCTGATTTGACGGTGCACTCACACAAAAATAATAAAATAAAAATTAAAAAAAATAAAGTCGAAGCTAAAGGATCAGTGGAAGAAATTTGGACTGTTAATCACCGTAATTATCAAACTAAATTATGGAAATTAGTTGCAAGTATGGGATCAATAAATATTTCCTGTATCCCAAAGGATAAATGTAAAGGAGATAATGTCACCAATGCCAAAGTCACGTCTTGTGTAACTGAACCATATGTCTTATTAATTGGCAATAATGTGATCACTGGTGATTATCCAAAATATAAATTGTTCTCATTGTAAAATCTCTAATTGTATCAGCTCTATTGCCAAAGATGACTCAGTTGTTATTCTAAAAAGTCCTTCTTTTGTTATGACACCAGTAAAGCTAAATGATATTTGGTATGATGATAAAAGTCTGCAAATTTTAAAAGAATTATATAAGTTGTCATTAAGAGCCAAAAGAACTGTAGGTTTCTCTTATTTCTATGCTCACTGCTGTTTCTGCTTCTGCTGCAGCATTGACTCAAGAAGATCAAATGGCTAATTTTGTAAATAGGTTAATGCATAATGTGACAAAAAATTGGGTAAAGCAAGAAAATGTGGATGAAGTTATGGAGCAAAAGTTAAATGCTTTGTATGATACGGCAAATGTATTAGGCAATATAGTACAGCAAATTAGAATGAAAGAAAAGTTAAGATGCCATGCGGCCATGACTCTATTGGTGTTACAAAATTAAAATAGCTCAGATAATGATTGGATAAAAATAGTATCTCATTTAAAAGTCTGCTATTAGGGACCTCTCTAAAGTACTCAAGAGCAATGGTGTCTCTCTGGAGACTAAGGTGCACCTGATACAGGCCATGGTCTTTGCAATCACTTGTTATGCATTAGAGAGTTGGACAATGACTAGGCAAAATAGAAGGAGAATTGATGCCTTTGAGCTGTGGTGCTGGAAAAGAGTACTGAATGTACCATGGACTGCCAAGAAAACAGACAGATTCATCCTGGAGAGGATTAAACCAAGCAACTCCTTGGAGGAAAGGATTCTGGGGCTTCGTCTGACATACTTTGGGCATGTTGCAAGGAGGGACAGGTCCTTGGAGAGGGACATCATGCTTGGGAGAGTGGAGGGATTGCGCAGGAGGGGAAGACCCTCTATGAGATGGATTGATTCAGTGACTGGGGTAATCGGGATGGGTGTGTCAGAGGCAGTGCGATTGGCACAGGATAGAGCAGGGTTTAGGGCTGTTGTACATAGGGTCACTATGAGTCGCAAATGACTCAATGGCACATAACAACAACAACAACAACATTTAAAAGGAATCTGGATGTCAAATAATGATTCTCTTGATTTGTATGATTTGCACCAAAGAATTATAGAAATGCAGAACACCGCAGAGATAACTATCTCTCCAGTGGAACAAGATAGTCAAATATTTGAAAATCTAAAAAACTGATTTAGAACTTCATTTAGAAATCTGCTTTTTATGATTGTTGCTCTTTGTATTGTTATCATAGGTATACTATAGACTCTCCCTGTGTTGGTCATATATTAGCCAAGCGATATAAAGAATTGCTGGGTAAAGTATATGGAATTCAACTTAAAGCCCTCCCCAAGCAAATGCAGGATGTGTAGCCAATGACAGGTAAGGAGAGATACTTGCTCATGATCCTAAGACAGTGAGTAGCATAAACTGCTATTATCCCCATGATGGGCAACTTGAGTTTGAATTCTCTTATCCACCTAAGATAGGCAACATCCTATATTTTAATATTTTGGAAGGGGGAATTGTCAGGAGCCTGGCTAACTTGCAAAGCAAGATTAGCTCTGTACTGTAAAACCAGCAAGACTTAACGCCATCTTGGCTAGAACATCTGCTTGGCAATAAACAACTCAAGGAAGTAGGATGTTAATGAATAAGAGTGACCAAAGGTCTCAGACCTTAGGGAATGTAATCTACCGAAACACTTTTGTGTTTCTTAAGCACACAATAAGGTATTCTGGAAAGCATCTTTGTATTGTACTGAGGTCTGTGAGAGTTAATGTTTGACCTGATAGTCAACATCTCGGACGGAAAGAGATAATGCAATTGTTACCGCAGACGTGTTTCTAAAACCTATATAGGCTTTTCTATGAATAGTAAAATTGCTATTCGCCATCAATGGATAGTCTCTCTGCATCTTCATTTCATCCTCATCCCTTCTCTCGGTGGAACTGTTCGATATAACAGGGCTGGACCCGGTTAAAAGTCCAAGCCCACCGCCAACAGAAGCCCATCTTCCCACCTTGGCTCAGGGTCTCGCCCACACCCAGCTCCTTCCTGCCAACCTTCCATCCGAAGACCCCTTATTTGGGTTTCAAACACCTCCTTCTCAGGCCTCTCCCCCACCTAGTCCATAGGAATCGCCATTCCTGTCCTTGGGGCCTGACTCTCTACCTGGCTGACCTGTGTGTAGGTAGGCATTAAGGTCCTTTCAAACCAGGAGTGAACAGTCAGGGCCCTGCCCTGTGGGTGGTGTGTACCCAACCATAGAGTAGCCTTCCTGCATCATACCAGAGGGTCCACACCTAGACTCTGCATGTCCAGGGTAGCCTGCAGAGCACAGGAGGTGGGGGTGACCCCTCAACCTTGGCTCTTGGGCTTCCATCTGCTCTGGGAGCTGCGTTGGAGCCAACACCTTGCTCAGACATACCACTTGCTCAGGTGCCCCCCAGACCCCACTGGGGAACTCCACTAGAGAAGGAGGGAGCTGACTGTTCAGTCTCGTCACCACCCTCTGGGTGCAGCAGGTCCCAGGCCATGGCTCTGTCATCTCCCACCCTGCCCATGTCCCCCTGAGCTGTGCCACTCCAGGGACCTGACAGGGAAAGCAGCACCCCTGCAGTCTCCCAGGCAGGAAGGGCCAGCATCTGCCCAGGCTTTGGAGGGACTCCACACCCAGCACCCACACCTCTTGCTCACCTGTGAACACAGCGGGGGGCTCTGAGCTGCCAGGCTTGCTCACAAAGTAGCAGATATGTCCAGAGGTGTGACACGGTGTGGACAGGCATTTCACGTTGAGAGACCCCACCTGAAAGACCCAGCAACTTTCTATCACCTGAGGCCTTTCCTGCGGTCACAGTGGCAGCAGGACACCTGCCAGTCCCCAGATCAAAAAACAGTTGGGTGTGAATACCAGCCCACACTGTTTGTGACATACATGTGTTCAGGAGTGCATACACTTACACACACACTGGGGCTCACATGTACACACAGGGCCACAGGCTGGTGCTCATGCATATGGGTTCAGGAGCGCTCACACAGGGGTGTGCACATTCACACACACACAAACGAGCACGTGCTCTCCCACTGAGTCTCCCAAAAATTGGCTACAGGAACCTGGGAAAGGCCTCCAAGGATAAATATCTCCCTACAGAACCACACCCCCACAGCTAGGTCTGTGAACATGAGCCATGATGGCATCTCACACGATCCCTACTTAGACCTCCCTGTTGCCCAAGATTGTCCCCACATCCCATCACACTGCTTTGTCGCACTTTTCAGAGGATCAACCCAGGGGTTGAGGCAGGCTCCCCTTAAGATGCCCTCACGTTCAGACTAGATGTTCCTAACCCCTCGGGAGGGAGGGGGTGCCACACGGAGCCCCCACAACTCTGCCCTTACCTGCAGTGTAGACAGATGTGCAACCTTATTGGTCAGAGCCCCGATGCGGTCATCACCCCCATACACCTTCAGGCCTGGCTCCATTTTTACCAGCTTGTCATTCCCACCAGCATGGTCCCTGGAAGTGTGGGGAGACCTCAGTCTTGATGTGAGAAGCAGCCCACCTGCCTAGGAACCTGCACAGACTGCCCTGGGGGGCCCCATACTTCTCAAGCAGACACCTCCTCTAGGCCTGGCTGTGGCCTAATCTGTTCTCAGAACCCTGTGTCCATGTGGCCCCTCTGCTCTGGGCCAGGCTGCAGAACCGGAGACTGGAAGCACAGACACTCGTGGGCCACATGTGGCAGGGCCTGGGACCAGCTGGGCTCTTGGCAGAGGTCTGAGGCCCACCACCGCCAGCCCACAACCTAGACACAGCCTGGTTTGGGAACCTCACCCCAGGAAACACCAAGCTGGAGTCACTCCCAGGAGGGCAAGTTAACTGACAGCTCTGGCCATCAGGAGGTGTGAGACCATGTTTCAGAAAGGGGCTCTGTCCTAATCCTCTGAAGACAAGGCCAGAAATCAGGGATAGATGAGCTTCCCCTATTGCACATGGATGCAGGCCCACAGGGCTGGTGGCCACATCCCAGCATGCACTGGAACTAGTCACATGCCTGCCTCCATGCATCCTGTTCTTGGCACTGTCTACCTCTCCAGAATGGCTGGCCACGCCCATGCAAGTGGTCACATCTCCGCCTGTAGTCATATATGGGCCAGTGGCCATTCTAGTTGAGCCCAGCACAGTAAGGCCTGCACCACCACTGCTACTTTTCAACTGTCCCTTAAATCAGCAACTCCACAGCTTCCTTATGAGGGCACCGGTGGCACCTGAGCTCCATCAGGGCTGGGCAGAGGGGTTTGCCTCCAGAGGAACTGAGGGAGAACACTGAGCTGAGAATGGAGGAGACTGATAGCCAGGGGCAGGCCTACCTAGTGGGGAGGAAGAGATCAGCTCCCATGGGATGGGGGTGCTCTGGACACCCAATGCCTATCGGTCAAGGTGTCTGTTTGCCTGGGGCCAGGCCCCTGAGATAGCCCATGCTAGCCTCGTGACCCACAGCAGCAGCTTCAGCACAGTGGTATCAGTGTGACCTCTGTGGCCTGGACAGTGAGTTACTGCGATCAGCCACGTGGCTGCCTCAAGCCCATGTGACTGACCCCCAGGAAGAACATGGGAGGCCAGGGCCTGGGTAGCTCTGTGCATGAGGTCACACTTGCTGCTAGGAGAAGCCAGAAATGTCTACTAGACCCCTGAGGGACGACTAGACACTGGTGCTGGCCTCTGCTGGCCTCACAAGCCTCCCCTTCTAGCTGGCTAAACCTTGTGAGTGTAACAGTGCTTTTGAATTCTGTGGCTGTCTGATTGGTCAGGAAGCCTATGGGTGGTCTAGGGGATGCCCGGCTAAGAAACAAGGAGCTCTTTAGAGCAGTGAACCCCTCCCAGCAGTAGGGGGCTCTGGGGCAGCCAGTCTGATACACACAGAGGGGTCAGAACCAGAGCCTGCCCAATGCCATCATACTAGACAGAACTGTGCCATGTGCATTGGCCTGAACCAGGCTCTAGTGTAGTTGGGCTACTGTTCAGAATGACCTTCCTAAGCCATTGCCCTTGACTGTGTCACGTGGCTGGATGGGACCATGTAAACAGGATGTGTTAGTTTGTCCACATGGGGATTGGCTAGTCTTGTTATTCCACCAGGTTTAAATTGAGCAGGTTTAGTGGCAGGAATTTGGGCATCTTACTACCAGCAACACCACTCAGCCCAGGACCTACAGGAGAGCAGCAGCCACAGCAGAGAACCAGAGAGCCAAGAGGAGACAGAGCTGAGCTGGGGCTGCTGCCCCACAGAACCACAGCCAAGGCACTCCACCCAAGCTTTCTGCAGGGTTGGGAGAGAGATGCCTCAATTGGCAGAACTGAGAGCTTTGTAACACTGACCTCAAGACTGAAGGGCCTGTGAGCACACTTAGAAGCCGACCTGAGAATTTTTACCCTGCTGCCAACCTGAGATATAACCTGCTAACTTTCCTAATAATTGTGGGTATGCTTCTGGGAGGCCTGCAAAGCTATTCAGTGGGTTTCACAGGGAGTGGTGGTGGCCTGATGGTAAGAAGTTGTGCTGGCAACCCAAAGATATATGATCCAAATCCACCAGCTGCTCCATAGGAGAAGGATGGGCAATCTCTGTCCATGTGATTAACTGCCTCTGAAAACCCACTGGAGGGTCAACTAGGGGTCAGTTCTGACTCAACAGTACATAACAACAATAATTATGAGTATGCTTCTGTGAGGTCTGTGTAGCTACTGCAATGGGTTTTGGACCCATTACAGCAGTGGGATTGGTGCTGGGATTAATGGAAACAGGCAGGGGTGTGCAAGAGACATGTCTAACATGATAGGAACTAATTTTGTGTTGTGGATGTTGATGATGGGGACAGTTTCCTCTTGTGCAGGTAGCAGAGGCCAGACTCAGCTGTCTCCACACTCCTCTCTTTTTACACAGGTCCAACCTCCCTGCCTCACACACTCAGGGATTGTGTGCCTGGGTCTCCACTGCCTCAGATCCTGGGAGTCGGATGGGAGGCACCAGCCATGACCCACTGTCGGCATGGAGCCCAGACTGGGCACACAAGCACACCCACGCACCCACAGCCACACCCACACACCCAGCCTGACCTCCAGAAGGAGACGGAGAGGAGGGACAGGAAGAATGGCAATGCCAAGAGCAGGGCCGCTGTCCAAGGAGTTACTTGTTGTTGTTGTTGTCGTCAGGTGCCGTGGAGTCATAGACGACTCATAGCGACCCTATGAACGAAAGGCCTGAGCACTATTCGCACATAGAGTTTCCCGAGGCAAGCCATTTTGGAAGTGGATGGCGCTCCTGCTTCCAGGTTTGTTTTAGTTGGGAAGCTCCAGTAAACACTGTCCACCATGGGTAACCATTACCACGTTTGGCACATCACTGTCACAGTGTTCAGCATCACAGCAACCACGAGTTACCTCTGTACAGCAACACAAACTAGTGCTATACCACCTAGAAGAATGTTTGACAGGAAAACAATTTGAACCCAGCCCAAGGGCCTGCGGCCCTCAGGCCCTTTGGTGCGTAAAGTTCCCTCCTGCCTTAAACCCTAGGCCAAGCCTGGCTTGCCTCGCTCCTGGGGGCAGAGCAAACCTGCACATCAAACACAAGCTGGAAAAAGCACTTGACTCTAAAAGCTTGCCATAATTCCTGCGCTCGCACCACCAGGAGGAGGCGGCCATGTTCTTCCTGGTTGGCTCCTCCCAGGGGTGAAGGAGTTAGAGCTAAGTAATTATCTTCTTGTAGCTTTGATGAGCCTCAGCTCCCCTCTCCCCCCACATTACCAAACCCACCACTATTGACAAGATTCAAACTCACAGCCACCCTGCAGGACAAGGTACAGAGGCCCCAGTTTCAAAAGCTGTGATCTTTACGAACGGAGCTCTGGTGAGTCCATAGGACACGGCACTGCTAACCTAAAGGCCTGGCCTCTCTGGTGGTTTAAATCCACCAGTGGTTCCAACTTGACAGCAAAGAGATTGAGTTCTGAACCTTTATGGAAGTGGAGTGTCATCTTTTTCCCTTGGAGCAGCTGGTGAATTTGAACTGCAGTAAAAATACGGGGAGTCTGCTCCCATGAACATTTACAGCCTCAGAACCCTAACAGAGGGTCTCCAGGAGCTGGGATCAGCTAGACAGCAGGGGGATTGGTTCTGAGTGCCACCTAGTGGATTCTGACTCCTAGTGACCCTTGAGGGCAGAGCAGGGCTTATGGGAACAGACGGCCAGACCTTTTCCTGTGGAAGCCACGGAGTGGGTTTGAGTGAGTCAACCTCTCTGTTAAAAGCCACGCAATTAACTGCTATTCTCCTTAGTAAACGCTTGAACCCTTGGGAAAACCGAGCCAAATTTAGTTGTCCATGATGATGCTTGATATGGCCAGAGAGATCTTTTTGTAACCAGAACCACCAATTGGTTTACTATTTTTAATCACTGGACAGACTTGAGTAATTTTTCCTCATGACCCTAGCTCACTTCTGATACCACAGATGGAATTGCCCGCCCACTGCCCGCCTAGTGTGTGAGTCCTGGAGATAAGTCATCCCTGGGAGGCGTCCTTGCTGGCTGGCTCCCTGCCTTCCAGGACCCTGGACTAGAATTTCACCTTTGCTAGGGACTTCAACTTCATTCCTATTTGTATGCTTTCAACCCGCCTTGCTCTGAATTAATTTATTTGTGTTTTCACTCAACAAACAAACACAGCAGACTTTGTCAGGCAACTCCTGGACAGATGCTCAAAGCTTCAACAACTGATTTTACTACAAAGGAAATTAACTCCAAATGGAATGAAAATAAAAGATGGGTTTGGTTTTCTCTCAGCTGCAAAATACTGGTAGCTGTGATCGGTCACCCACAGAATGATTGATAATAAATATATAGTGAAAAGAGTTACTTAAAAAGAAAAGCAGAAAATTCCCCAAATATGACTCATTTGAAAAAACTGACTCTCTCTGGGTGGCCAGGCCCCATGCTGGGGTATCAGCCTCGGAGGCTGCCAAGTCCTCATGGCTGAAAGGAGGGACAGGTATGCAGGGCCTGCTGGGTGACAATGCTGGAGCCTGCCTCCATGTCCACTAGTCATCTGTCTGTCTTTCCCTGGGTCCACCTCTCTACCATCTGTCTCTCTCACCATCTGTATGTCCATCCTTACCCATCTCTCTGCCTCTCTGTCTGTCCATCATCCTTTCTCTGTGTCTACCCCTTCTCCATCTCTTTGCCTGTCTGTTGATCATCCTTTTTCTGTGTCTACCCCTTCTCCATCTCTCTGCCTCTCTGTCTGTCCATCTGCTCACCAGCCCTTCCCCATGTCTATCCCTCTCCTGACCACAGGAAAACCAGTCATGCCAGGACTGTATCAGCAGCCACCACACAGGCCTGATGGTCCACCCTTCAAGGCTCAAGACTGGCTTGGTTGAGCTGCCACTAAACCCAGGCAGGGGTAGGGGGGTCTCCTTATACCCAGTGAGGACAGGACATGAGGAGGGTGTATCTCCCCCAGGCCAAGGGCTTGGCTTTGGGTGGGGAGCAGAAGTATCTCAGGAGTACCCCAGGTGGCCCCTGCCTGTATGTGTGAGGATGGAGAGCCAGCCCCCCATGTGTCCCTCCTGATGGGGTATCCCCAGAAGTCCCTCAGGTGGCCAACACTCACCAGTGGTGGTGGGTGGTGAGCACGGTGGTCAGCTTTACGCCATGCTTCTTCACAGTCTCCATCACCTACAGAACAAAGGATGGTCACCCCGGTTCCCAGCAAGGTGTGGGGTATTGGGGGCCTGCCTGGCCACTGGCCTCATTTGCTTCAACTCTAGGAGAGAATGACACTGTGAACCCAAAGGCAGGTGGTTTGACTCCTCCACCAGCTGCTCTGCAATCTCCTCCCCGTGCGATTTACTGCTCCTGGAAAGCCACCTGAGGGTCAGTTGTGATTCAGTTCAACTTGATGGTACACAACAACAGCAACAACTGGAAGAGTACAGTGAAGGTGGCCTTTTCCTATCTGGACTAGCTGGGCAGCACCGAGCCCATGCACTCCATGGCCCACAGAGCAGAGGCCTCAGGGCGCTCACTGTACCCCAGCTCTGGGTGTTAAAGTCAGGGCCCTTCTCCAAGTATGCAATGTGGTTGGACGTGCGTCCACACTGAGTTCCAGTCCAGGTGGTCCTGGGGCAGCCTTGAGGACACGTAGCTGTAAATGCCATTGGGGCTGAAGACACCGGCTGGTGACAGGTGCGGGAAGGGCCCAGGCCTTGGAGGGACAACAGCTCGGGAAATCCTGCAGGGAGTTCTCCTCTGTCACATGGCTCACATGAGTCAGAGCCGACCTCACACTATGGGATTTTATTGGTTTTTAGAAGTATTCTGGAGAAGACCTGGTGGTGTGGTGGTTAAGCGCTCAGCTGTGAACCAACAGGTCAGAGGTTTGAAGTAAAGATTAAAACAAAATCAAACACACTGCCATCCAGTCAGTTCTGACCCGTGCCACCCTGAGGACTGGGCAGGACCCACACAGCTGCCGTCTTTATGGAACTTTGTCTTCCTCCTGCTGAGTGGCTAGTGGGTTTGAACCGCCGTAAAGATGATAGCTTGGAAGCCTCAGGGGGCAGTTCGGTGAGCTGGGATGGATTTGTTGCCCCAGGTTGGCACCCCAGCCAGCGGCCTCACCTTCTGGGGCTGCACAGGGTCCACTATGGCGGCCTCCTTGCTGTCCTCGTCAATGAGGAGGTACATGTAGTTGTCAGTCAGGGCGGGCAGGAGCTCCACCTTCATGATGACCTGCTGGACCACGGCACTCTTCCGGAGAACTGTGTGGCTGAAGAAGACTCCCAGCAGTGCTGGACCTGTGGACACAAGGGCATTAGGTCTAGGGATGGTGGGTGGCCGGGTGACAGCCACACTGAGCATGTCCCTGGCTCCTCTGAGGCGACGTGCACATCATCCTCAGACCGCAGAGAAAGTGACTTCCTGTTCAGGAATCAGCCATGAGGACGCTGCCCCTGATTATCTTATTCTCAGGCCTTAAAAGGACAAACCAGAAGAACACCCACGTGCTCTCTGGAGGTGAGAACCATGAGACTTTTTCCATGTACTTTGGGCATGTTGTCAGGGAGGCCAAGTCTCTGGAGAAGAGCATCATGCTTGGAAAAGTAGAGAGTCAGCAAAAAAGAGGTTGACCCTCAACATGATGGTTTGACAGTGCCTGCAATGGTGGGCTGAGTGGCAAAGACTGTGAGGACGGCACAGGGCTGTGCCCGGGGCACCGTGTGTCAGGGCTAAAAACAACAAAAGGACCAGGAGGAGTCTTTGAGTGGTGGAAACAGTTAAGCACACAACTAACTAGAAGGTTGGAGGTTTGAACCCATCCAAAAGCACAAAAGCACCTTATAAGAAGGTCTGGAGATCTTTTTTTGACTGATCACATGCTACCCTGATGCACCTGGCCCACACCGCAGACAAGTCGACTTGATGGCCACCAGCAGGGTTTCGTTTATTTTAGTGAAGGAAAACATCCAGTTCTAGTGTCCAACTGCACAGGCTGGACTCAGAAAAAGGACAAAAACCAAGGCACAGCCCAAATCATGGTCCTTCCTCCTGCCCAGCTCAGACCTCTGGCCAAGAAGAATACAATACCTGCCCCAACGCAGCAAAAACTATATGAAGATGCAGCACAAACACCACCATGTCCATGGCCATGGCCGCAGTTCCCGTTCACAGTGCACCCTGCAGGACAGGGTCGAACTACTCCATGGGGCTACCAAGGAGCTGATATTTTTGGACACAAACACTGTGTTCTCTGAGCAGCATCACCAGTGCTACCCAGGAGGAACACACTCCCTTGAACAATCAACTCCAGGATCCCAGGGAGAAAGTCAGAAGCAGGAAGGGATAGGAAACAAGGACTAGTGGAAACGGGAAACCCAAAATGAAAGTGGGAAGAGTGCAGTTACCACGTGGGGATTGCAATCAAGAAAAAAAAAAAAAGCAAAAGCAAAAACACCAGAGAGGTTCTTACTCTTTAGAACAAGCAAGTACATGAGATCAAAAGGACCGTCTTTTCCTCAGGGAGAAAGCTCAGATAGTAGGAAGGGTGATGCTAGAAGGATGAGTGGAGATCAGAATCACAGGGAGGAAGTGAGAAGAGTGCTGTTACAATGTGGGAATTTTAAATTAATGCATTAAAAAAGAAAAACAACAAAAAACAATAAGAAGAAAACACCAGTTCTGAGGATGGCTGTGCATGGCTACTTCCGATTCCCACCGGGGAAGACAGCATTACTCTGGGTCAGCTGACACTCCAGGGACAAAGGCTGAGGGACTTAGGACTTCCACCTGGAAGACAGATGCCAACCTATCCTCAGCGGTGACATTGCTGAATATAATACACATAGCCAAATCGTACTGGAAGTCTTAGCTCCTCAAGAGAAAAAAACTCAAAGGCTGAAGGCAGGCAGCTGGGAAACCAGGGGCAAATGCCAGGATGAGGTCTCTCCTGAAAGATGCAGAAGGCATATAGCACAGACAGACAGATAGACATAATTCATCTCCAAGGGCAGGGCCATACTGCCATGCTGTCACTATCTTGATAACACAAACTATCCATGGTCCCCTTTTTTTGACAGCCAGCTGGACACAGTCCAGACCCTTCTCTTGCACAGCAAATAAGCATGTTTATTAAGCTCACATTTCCCTGATATGCCACCTCCCTTGAGCTGGCCCTAGCACTACCCAGGTGGATTACACAGCAGAAAGAAAGAAAAGGAGACAGGGAGACAGAAGAGGGGAAAGGAGAGGGAGGGAGGGAGAGTAAGGAGAGAAAAAGAAAAGGGGATTACAACAGGATTGGATATTTTCCTCCTTAATAAAATTTAAAAAACTTCTGCTGTGGCATTCATTCTGTCATAGGTCCCTAAGGACAGAGTAGAACTGCCCCTAGGGTTTCCCGGCCTCTAATCTTTACAGAAGCCAACTCCCTCATTTTTCTCCCTTAGACCAGATGGTGGGTTTGAACCACTCACCTTTTGGTTAGCAGCTTGACACTTAACTGACCACAGTACTAAAAAAGGGGCCCAGTGTCCATATTTCCTAGCAGAACTTTAAAAATACAAGAGTAAAAAAAATAAAAAGTAAAAGTGTAAGGTGCACCTGTTCCAGGTCCTGAGCCAGCCCCGGGGAGAAGCTGGACACATGGGGCTGGGCGGTGGTGGCCAAGGGAGGCATTCACTAAGGTGTTGGCCTCACCAGAAACCCTACTCCTTTTCTGAAAGAAAGCTCCACACTGCCTGTAAAGGCCACCAGCTGATGGGGCCCTGTGACACTGTGTTCACACAGACCTGCAGCCTGTGGCCTGGACCATGCCAAGAACATGCTGTGTTTAACCCATGAAATATCATAAAATTCAAGGAGTTCCATGGGATTTCAGTCCTCTAACAGCTCTAGCTCGGCTCCACGGTCAACACTCTTGGCACCAGTAGCCAGGAAATCAAAAAACGTATTGCGATGGGAAAGTCTGCTGTTAGGGACCTCTCTAAAGTACTCAAGAGCAACAGTGTCTCTCTGGAGACTAAGGTGCGCCTGATACAGGCCATGGTTTTTGCAATCACTTGTTATGCATCAGAGAGTTGGACAATGACTAGGGAGGATAGAAGGAGAATTGACGCCTTTGAGCTGTGGTGCTGGAGAAGAGTATTGAATGTACCATGGACTGCCAAGAAAACAAACAGATTCATCCTGGAAAGGGTTAAACCAGGCTGCTCCTTGGAGGCAAGGATTCTGGGGCTTCGCCTGACATACTTTGGACATGTTGTAAGGAGAGACAGGTCTTTAGAGAGGGACATCATGCTGGGTAGAGTAGAGGGACAGCGCAGGAGGGGAAAACCCTCTATGAGGTGGACTGATTCAGTGACTGGGGTAATCGGGATGGGTGTGTCAGAGGCAATGAGATTGGCACGGGATAGAGCACGGTTTAGGGCTGTTGTACATAGGGTCGCTATGAGTCGCAAACGACTCGACGGCACATAACAACAACAGCTCTAGGGGTGTAGTTTGTTCTTGGCTGCAAAGCTAAATGTTGGTGGTTCAGCAGAAAAGGCTGCCACTCTGCTCTCATAGATTCAGATGGATGCCATGACACAAAACAAAATTCCCACAAAGAAGGGCTAGGAAAGAGGGCTGATGGAAATGAGAAACAGAGATGTGAAGTGTGCTGTTACACGGTGGGGATGCAGTCAACATCTCGAAACAAAAAGTGTACAAACCGTTGAATGGAAAGCCAAATTGCAATTAAAAAGTAAAAAAAGAAAGAGGTCAAGAAATCCCATGGATCAGGTCTAGTTCCTGAGTTAATTCTCCCCCTCCACAATAAAGACCTTAACAAATGATTCAAGCTGGAAGTTTGAACCCACTCAGTGGTTCTGCAGAGGGAAAGTTGCCCATCTGCTGTCATAAAGACGGCAGCTGAGGAAACCCTCTGGGACAGTTCTACTCAGGCACATGGGTCTGAAGTCCCCTGTCTCCTGTGTGATATCGGTGGGCTGAGTGGCTTAGAGGGGACACTGTCCCATTATTTGCCCAGCTGATGAGGTGAACTCTCAACTCCAACTAAATAGGGGGAAGCTCATCATGTGTGAACAGAAAACAGGCTCTTTATTTTGTAATGACCATTTCTCTCTCTGAAGGGAACTGGCTGCATTCAGCAAGGCCTACAATTTGTCATCTACCCAGGACTCAGTGGCTGCCCATCCAACTGGCTGCCAAGCACGGCAAGTTAACCAAAGGCCCTGATTGCTACATCAGCTAGATAAGTGCAAGTGTGATAGAGCAGACAGGGAGATTTCAAAATCAAGGTTATCAACATATTCCAACAAAGCTGGAACAACGTTAGGAGGATCAGAATTTGAGAACTGGATAAGCTAGTCTGTAGAGGGCCAGAAACTAACACCACCCATTAGCATGTGGACCAGAGGCAGAGACCCCAGGTGGCTGGGCCAGGGCTCTCAGCTCACAAATGAAGTCTTGGTAGAACTCACTATTGTTCCAGGGTTCTGCCTTTGGCCCTCAGTTTGGTTAAATGCTTCAGGATTTGTCTTGCTGTTGGATACTGGTGTGAAAAGATGTTATTTATTTGTGGAGACATAGAGCCCACACTCTTTTGGGCACAATTCCATCACAGCAACATGAGTTTTGATATTCAGGGGAGGAGACACCCTGGTGGTACAGTGGCTTAAGCTATTAACTTCCAGCTGAAAGGGTGGTTGTTTGAATCCATCAGCTGATCTAAGGGAGAGAATGAGGCAGTCGGCTTCCCTTGAGATTTAGTTTTGGAAGCCCTCTGGGGCAATTCTTCTCTGTCCTACAGGGTTGCTGTGAGAAGGAATAGATTGGATGGCAGTGGGGTCGCACACGGGTTGACTACTTGCTGCTAACCCAAAGGTCAGTGGTTTGGGCTTGAACCTAACCGATCTAAAAGAACAAGGTTGGAGCTCTGGTGGCCTAGTGGCAAAAAAGCTGCGCTGCAATCCCGAAGGCACGCAGTTCTCGAGGCCACCAGCTGCTCCGCGTGGGAGAAGGATGGGCAATCTCCTCCCATGTGATTAACTGCTTCTGAAAACCCGCCGGAGGGTCAGCTATGGGTCAGTCCCGACTAGACGGTACACAACAACAAATTGCATGGGAGGAGATTGCCTGTTTCACTCCCATTAGAGCTTCTGTGCACTTGAACTATCAGAAAGGCTCAGCTTTTGGGTTAACAGCTCATCTCCAATTGAGCTAGGCCACCAGACCTTTCAGTCCAGGATATTTAAAAAAAAAAAAAAAAAAGCACAAGGTCTAATCTTGTCTAGATCAATCTTGGAAACCCTCTGGGGCAGTCCTACAGTGCCGCCAGGTGTCGGTTTCCACTTGCTAGATGTGGGGTTTTGGTATCAGAGCGGGAGGAGATGTGGAAACCCGCACCAACAGTCAGGGCGAGGGCCTCAGGGACTGCCCAGCAGGTGTTCTGACCTGACCTGGAAGCCATATGTCCTTACCTAGCTCGAATCCTTCCGAACTCCCAGCTGATAAGTCACCTCACTGTCTCTTTTGCCCTCGCACTGGCACTGACTAAATCCCGGGCTCCGCTGGACCACACCTGCGGCCCCGGCCCGCCGGCGGGGCGTTGGGCAACTGTGCAGAGACAGTGTCAGCTGGCGGCTGCCCCCTGCCGGCGACCCGGGGTGCGACGTTCTGACGGGCGGCCCTGCGGCTCGAGCCCCTCCGTGTCTGCAGCAGGCCTGGTAGGTTTCGCAGCGGCCAGCAGAGCTGCGTGACCCATGGAGTCTCTGAACAGGTTCCCCTCGGCTGGCGTCTGCCGCTCGTCTCGGACGCAGGCTCTTAACCCGGCATGACAGCAGCCCTGTCAGGCTCACTGCCCCGCGCCCTGCTCACCCCATGTCACCCGCCGCCCACCTACCCAGGCCGTGGCGTGCGCAGAAAGAGAGGCTCCGGCAACCTAGCAGCCCGCGGCCCAGTACCATGACCGGGAGGATAGTGGACAGGCGCGGGCGGGGGCTGCACAAGGCCGGGCGCACAGGCCAATGAGCCAATTAGCAGCCAGCCTCCTGCCCCGCCCCCGCCAATCAGCCCTTTCGCTCCGCCTCCAAACCGGCGGTCGCTCACGTCGTCCCGCCCCTTGCCAATCAACACACTCGCTCTGTTTCCCGAATGTCTTTCACCTCCTGCATTTCACCAATCATCATCCGCGAACCTGGTCCCGCCCCCTGTCAATCAGCAATCGATAGCCCCTCCCCAGTACACCAGTGGGCTAGCGTCGACCCCGTAGCCTCTCTAGGTAGGGGTTCTTTGAATCTCTAGAGCTCCAAGCTGACCTTTCTCCTTCTATCACCGCAGCCAGCCTTTCCCCCAACCCCGTACAGCGGTGTGGCAGCTACCGGACAGCAGCTCCTAGGTGGCCAAACACAGAGCGACTGGTACTGTCACCTACGGGACAGTCTGAAAGTTTGTCCCTACGGGCAGCCGTAGGCACTGCGTCGCTCACGTGACACGGGACACCTTGCCCTACGGCCCGAGTGAGCCATGGCGTTGCCCAGGCCCATGTCCCGGTTCTGGGAGTGGGGGAAGAACATCGTGTGCGTGGGCAGGAACTATGCGGAGCACGCCCGGGAGATGCAGAGCGCCACGCCGAGTGAGCCGCTGCTCTTCTTGAAACCGTCCAGCGCCTACGCCCCCGAGGGCTCGCCCATCCTCATGCCCGCGTACAGCCGCGAGCTACACCACGAGCTGGAGCTGGGTGTGGTGCTGGGCCGGCGCGGCCGCGCGGTGCCGCAGGCCTCGGCCATGGACTACGTGGCCGGCTACGCTCTGTGCCTGGACATGACGGCCAGGGATGTGCAGGCGGAGTGCAAGAAGAAGGGGCTGCCCTGGACCCTGGCCAAGGGCTTTACGGCTTCCTGCCCGGTTAGTGCATTCGTGCCCAAGGACAAGGTCCCAGACCCCCACAAACTGCGGCTCTGGCTCAAGGTCAACGGCGAGCTCAGGCAGGAGGGGGAGACTTCCTCCATGATCTTCTCCATCCCCTACATCATCAGCTACATCTCCAAGATTATGACCTTGGAGGAGGGCGACCTCATCTTGACTGGGACGCCCGAGGGCGTTGGGCCTGTTAATGTAAATGATGAGATCCAGGCTGGCATCGACGGATTGGTCACCATGAGATTTAAGGTAGAAAGGCCGGACTGTTGAATATGAATGAAGTGCCTTAGCTTCTTCACAAGTTTCGGGAGAAACGAGTGTGTGGCAGAAGCAAGAGAAATTGATTACAGTCCTCCAATGAGAATCAGTTTAAAGAGTGATTTGATCCCATGATTGTGTCTTCACTCGAGGAAGGATGGATGATCTGTCAAGAGAAACCTGACCCAGAACAGCGGAGACTTCCACGTGGGCAATAGCAGAGCTTTCGGGTCGCGACCAGTGAAAGGAGGGCAAATGGCTCTGAAGAGAAGCTGTTTCAACCAAAAGGTCAAAACACTGGCCTGAAATGGGACTCGATAAAGAGTTTTCTGTTATCAATGGGTTATTCTCAGGTGTCCGCAGTGCAGAGAAAGTAGAGAATCATTTTAGACTTGTTTCCCCAATGTTCTTGATCATCGTGGAAGGAGGGGATATTGGTAAAAATAAAAATTTCCATATTACAGACCCACTGATTCAACAGCTGACTCTCTTTTGGCACAGCCAGGGGAGTGTTTCCAGAGCACTTGGAGTGGTTTTTAAAAGTGGGAAGCTTTGTGGAGGTCTGGTGGCCTAGTGGCAAGAAGCTACGCTGCAATCTTAAAGGCACAGTGTTCAAGGCCACCAGCTGCTCCATAGAAGGATGAACAGTTTTCTCCAATCCAATTGATTGCCTCTGAAAACTTGCTGGAGAGTCAGCTGTGGGTTGATTCTGACTCAATAGTACACATAAGTGAAAGAAAAAAAAAGTTTAAAAAAATGGGAAGCTTTAAAAAGAAACCACTGACCTATAAAGTTTAAAATTTTTTTACCTGTTTAACTCTGGATATTCCCTGTCCCATAGATGGCTCCTGAGATGACTGCTTTCCAAATTTCCTTGCTTCTGAGTGTGCCCTAAGGTTGTTCTCAGCAGAGGTGGAGATGGGCCCTTTCTCAGGGGCCTTCACACCTCAGTGTCTGGCCTCTGCCTCCTGGGCACTGGGTTCACAGTTAAAGAGCACTTCCTTCTTCCACCCTGGGGTGTTTTTTAGCTGCCAACTGCTCCTTGTTTGAAAGTAGAGAAGATGCTCAGTAGAGCAGTCAGAATGTTAAGTATAAAGTTAGAAACAGTGGCTGCCATCTCCTGAGCAGAGCTTTCCGTTTGGCCACTACTTCTCTACAAGCAGCCCGATTTCTGTTGCTGCTTCCATCCCATTTATAGAGGGAGGTGTGAATATAGAGGTGAAGTAGCCTGATGGAGGAGTGGTGGAGCTGGGGGGTAACCCAGCTGTCCTCAGACCACAACCTCCAATTTGACCATAATGGGGCTGTGTCCTATAAACAAGTACCATACAACTTCCACATTTAGATTCTGTTTTTGATGAAATGCCATAATGGGATTCCTTTATTCAGTAGAAATCATTTTTCACCTGTTCATTTTTGAAGCGTCAGAAAACACATAAGCAAAAAGAACATCCACCTGAGGTGGTGGGAATTCACGGCCTCCGGTGTATTTGTGCACACCTGGGGGTGGGGGTGTGGCTGTCGGCTCTTAGATCCTTTGCTCCTGTCACCTGACCTGCTGTCTGGCCTAAGTTTTTACTCCATGTGTGGTTATCCTTTCCCCTCCATCATACCTTTCTGTGGTATTTTTTTCAGATCCTGCACAGGACAGACAGCTACTTGTGGGAACAGTACTTGACAGTCCTCTCCTGGAGCTGGGGGCCCAGGGGTAGGAGGTGGACAGGAGGTGTGCCCACAGAGATGGTATCAGTCTAGCTGGCAGGTACAAGGTACAGCTGCTTTATCACACTAACCTTTGATGGTATGCCTTCCTCTGTAAATGAGGTGGAAGCAGCAACAGAAACCTCAAAGCTTGTAGAAAACTTGTGGCACCAGCTTTGTCCAGAGCAGCTGTGTCAGCAGCAGAAACAGCTGATGTGGCACTGTAGGGGTAGAATACAAAGTCCTTGGCTGCAAGGACCAGAAACTTAATCTCTCTACAATCCCAGGTATTGTGTGGCTTTCTCAGGATCACCAGTTATCCTTTTGTCCAGAAGATTCTTCTTAAGTTCTGATTTTGAAAAAAAAGTCACTGCAAAGCTAAAAGATTAGTATAATGAACCACATAAACCTATCCCTAGATCCAGCAGCTGTTAATGTACTCTCTCTGCTTTCCTTACTATTTATTTCAGAAGAAATAAGTAGTAAGACTTTGTGACTGACTATGTAAGTCAGTTCTGCCTCGTAGCAGTCTCTTAGGGTCACCTACGCTGTGATCTTTATGGGAGTAGGAAACCAGGGCTTTTCTCTTATGGAGTTGCTGGGTGAATTATGGATTTGAATGTGATCTTTCAGTTAACAGTTCAGTGTTAACTCACTGCACCACCAGGGCTCGCTCCAGAAAACCCAGACACACTGCCACCCAGCTGATTCTGACTCATAATGACCCTCCATAGGGTTTCTGAGACTTAAGTCTTTATGGGGAGACTGCTCACCTTTTTCTACCTCCAAGCGGTTGGTGGATTCCAACTACGGATGACTTGGTGGTGGTTATTGTTATATGCCACTGGGTCAGAACCAACTTGTAGCTGACCCTTCAGCAGGTTGTCAGAGACAGTAAATTGCACAGGGGACTGCCTAGCTTTCTCCCTTGGAGCAGCTGGTGAATCCAAACTCCTTGCCTTTAGCTTAGCAGTGCAACTCTTTACCTACTAGGTCACCAGAGAGCTCCCTGAACCTTTTGGCTAGGGTGGAGAGAAAAGAAAGGAGGCAAAAACTAGCAGGCTTTCCCCCCCTTAAAGGTCCCACTGGAGTTGGGTGCTGGTACCGGCAGGCAGGCCTCTGGCTCCCCCTTGCTCTGTGAGGGGCATCACTCCCAGGCCCGAGTCTCCTGGGTTTTTTGTTTCAAGAGCATGATCCTCCTCCAATCTCTTCAATGAAAGATTGTTTCCCTCCTTGGCATCTGCCCCAAGTGCTGCAGAAGTCATTTATCCCTTTCCATTTCTACCTAGAGCTCCTGCTGGTTCACACAGGAAACATAATCAGTGGCTGACTGAAGGACTGGAGGATCAAGTCCACCCAGAGGAAAACCAGCAAGGCAGGACTCCCCTGATACACATGGAGACCTCAAGTCAGTGACACTTGGGGGCGGGTGAACCCCTCATCCAGCCCTGTTAGGTTGTAGCATGTATCTGGAACCCTTGAGAGGAGTGGCGTTAGTATCTCCCCAATTCTCTTCTCCACAGGTCCTCCAGGGTAGGGCCAGCAGCTCCCACAGTGGATGATCTCCACTTTCCTTGCCCTCTGTGAGGGAAGTGAGTGAGAAGCATAAGGAAGATCTCCGTGGCAAGTGTGGGCCCAAGGTTATTATGAAGTGGATTCCATAGGAAACTCCTCTTGGAGGGACACGTCTCCAGGCAGGAATAAGTCAGAAAGAAGTGTGTGGTAACCATTAGTGACAGAGTGGATTAAGCATTATGCTGCTACCCAAAAGGTTTGCAGTTTGAATGCACCAGCCTCTCCTTGGGAGAAAGATGAGGCAGTTTACTTCTATTAAGGTTTATTTATAGCCTTGAGAACCCAGTGGAGGGGCACCATGAGTCAGAAGTGACTTGACAGCTAGCTGTGGGTTTGGGTTTTTGGGGTTTGTGTGGCACATTAGACTGGGACTAGAATCAACTGCAGTGTCACATTCTGGTGCAGCACTGGCGGTGACTCAGGAGACTCACAGGGCTTTCAAGTGTATAAATTGAATGATTATACAATCTTTTCTGGGAGTGATGTCAGCAACCAGAGCCTGACAGATGCTCCCGTGGTAACAGCAGCCTCGAGCTCTGGAAAGTCCCATGGAGCCCGGCAGCCAGGTTCCACACCTACCCAGATGAGCCAATGACTCCAGAGGGGGTGCTGTGCTTTTGGTCCTTAACCGGTAACAGGTAATAACAGTGACAGCACAAGAGCACCGTCAGTAAAAAGTGTGTCATGCCTGGCACAAAAGAGACGTGCTCAGTAATGTTAGCTATTCATATTATGGTAGTAATTTCATATGGAGATATTACCCCAGGAAATCACAGAGAATGCGGGCCAAGATCTCTTGGTGACTATTCATCACAGCTATGGATGGCATGCTTCTTCAGTGTCAAATGATGCACCGATTGCCCTCATGATCTTATTTTCAAACAAGGAGCCTGGAGGCATAGTGTCAGGCTGGCACCCAAAAGGTTGGCAGTTCAAAGCCACCATTGGCTCTGAGGGAGAAATATGTGCAGTCTATTCTTGTAAAGATGAGTCAGAACCACTCAATGGCAGTGAGGAGGTAGGCAACCATACACAATATGGAGATTAGGGACGTGTATTGTGAATTGAAATATGTATCTTAGTCTTAAGGAGTTGCACTGCCAACCCAAAGGCACATGATTAGAATTTACCAGCTGTTGTGCCGGAGAAAGATGGGCATGTGATTTACTGCCTCTGAAAACCTACTGGAGGGTCAACCATGAGTTCTGACTCGACAGTACAAAACATCATGTACCAACATCATCCGAAGAAGAGGTATTGACCCTGTTAGGATTGGAATGATCTTGTATGTTACATAGGAGTTCTGGTGGTACTGTGGTTAAGGGACTTGCCTACTAACCAAAAGTTCATTGGCTTGAACTCAACAGTAATTTGGCAAGAGAAAGATGAGGCAGTCTGTTTCTGTAAAAATTATAGCCTCAGAAACCTGACAGACAGTTCCACTTGGTTGTCAAGATTGTTAAAAGTAGGAATCAACTCCATGCCAGTGTTCTGTGTTTGTGAGGCTGTATTGCAGTGGAGTGGGTTCTAATGCTGATCCCTTTGGATGACTCCTTGGGCTGCCAGAGACTGGAGTACTACTCCTGAGGTAGGCAGAGCATGGTCCTACTGACCCTATAAAGCTAACTCCTCACCTCCACAGCTGAAATTCCATGAACCCTTTTACTGGACCCACAGTGATATGCCTGTTTCATCACCACCAAGTAACTAAGAAAAAAAATCTGTACTTGTAAAGTATGTACAGTGGCACAGAGGATTATGTGCTGAACTGCCCACTAAAATGTTGGCAATTCAAACCCTCAAGAGAAGATGGATGGTTTCTTCTCAGGAGGAAGATGCACAGTCTCCTGACATTGATGTTTATGGCCCCTGAGACCTGATGGGGTCATGAGTCAAAATCAACTCGACAGCAGTGGGCTTGTGCCAAAAAACCCCAAAGGTTTTCACACAGATGGATGATGGTCAGGAAAGACAGAAAAAAAGTGTGAGATAGGGGGTTGGGACTTCTCAAGTTCTGTTAGCTATTTTCTATAATAAACAGGTATTCATTTATAAGAAGATTTCAAAAACAAAGACTCATGCAGGGCTCTTGGAGCTGAGTGAGAAGTGGGTAAGTCTTTTCTGTGCCTCTGCCACATGACATGCTTATCCCTAGATGCACCTGAGCAGCATCAAGAACCAAACCCATTGCAGCCAGTCAGTTCTGACTCTCAGAAGGACTCTCGGGTTCTAAGGCTCAAAATTTTTACAGGAGGAAACAGACCATCTCTCTCTCTCTCCCCCCCTCCCTCTCCCTCTCCCTCTCCCTTCCCTTCTCCCCCCTCTCTCTCCCTCTCCCTCTCTCTCAGCAGCTGTTGATATGAACCACTGACCTCTTGGTTGACAGCCTGACACATAGCTCACCACATCACCAGGGCTCCTTAGGATTAGGAAAGAAGGGCTATTGAAGCGAACCAACAACAGAATATCAGGTAAGGTCCTATCACTTCCAGCGATTTCTAAGCAGCAGAGGAAAATGTGCAATCAGAACACAGTCAGACCAGGAACAGGCTGGTCCCGATGTTGGTGGGGTGGGGTCCAGACATGCAGATGCTTGTCCCTCTGACTTGCAGTGTCCAGTCTGTCAACTACATCTTGTAACTGTGCACATTATACTTGAGAAGCATGTTTGATCCCATTTGTGTGTGATACCCATCCCTGGAAACACCTGTCATCAGCTAAAATAAGAACCTGGAAGAACCTAAGAACTGGGGAGCACTTATACTATCAAACATAATCATGAATACTTTTAAGGTAATATGTGTACAGGTGTGCATCCTGGTGGCACAGTGTTTGAAGTGTTGGGATGCTATCCAAAAGGTTAATTGAACTCATCAGGCATTCATTCTGTGGAGAAGATTAAGCAGGCCCCACGGGCAGTTCTACTCTATCCTAAGAGTGTTTCTGTGAGTCAGAATGCCCTTGACATGCACATCTATATGTTGCTGCGTTGTTCACAATAGCAAAGAGATGGAAGCAACCCAAGTATCCATCAATAGATGAATGAGTAGAGAAACTTGTGGTATATTGAATACTATGCAGCACTGAAAAACAAGGAATAAAATATTATACAAAATGGGTGACCCTGGAGGACATGATGCTGAGTGAAATATCTCAGTCACAAAATGAAAAATACTGCATAATGCCATGGTCATAAAACAGGACTGACATGTGGGTTGGGGGAAACTAAGAAAAGAGGGGATAAATAATGAACACTGCATTGAAACAGATGAGGGAAAGAACTGTTTAAAAGGAAAATATGATTAAGTATTTGCATGACAAGAGTCCAGAATAAGAGGTGCATAGCAAAGTGGACTGTGGGATAGGCAGAAGGAGGAAATTGTGCAACAATGAAAGAATCTTTTCAAAGAGAAAAGTGAACTGGGGGGATGTAGAGAGGAAAATATACAATAATGAATGAATAGAAATTTAAGTTTTATGTAAACTTTTGTTAAAGAATTAATAAAAAAATCCACTTGACAGCAATGGGTAGACACAGACACATTCATTCTACCTACCTATCTTAACTATCTGTCCATCCACCTGTCTGTCTATCTATCTATCTATCTATCTATCTATCTATCTATCTATCTATCTATCTATCTATCTATCATCTAGGCTAATCTATTTGTCAATCTGCAAGTTCTGGTGGCATAGTCTGTAGGAAGTTGTGTTGCTAACTCACAGGAAGCATTTCTCTAGAGGGTCAAATCCACCAGCAGCTCCTCAGGAGAAAGATGGACCATGTGCTTCTATCTACAGCCTCAGAAAACTTGCTGAGGGTCAGCTATGAGTTGGTTCTAACTCAATGGCAATGAGCAAGTAAGTGATTTATACATATATACTGAAGCCAGCGGTGGCTCACTGGAGCAGTTGGGGCCAGTGGCCTAGATGCCAAGGGCTAGCCTGTCTAAGCTTTGTGGTGTAGACCCCACTGACCAGTTGCCCCTATGACTTTGATGGAGAGGAGCTACAGGAGGTCTGACCCAGTAGCTCCTGACACACTGTCCACATCTGGGTGGCGTGAATGGATAGGACACCATTTTAAGTCTTAACTGAATGAAGTGAGTGTGAGCCTAGCTGACAGCTGTCTGACTCCTTAATTCTCCCGCCTGCCTCTCCTCCCACCCCTCATCCTTTCTTGCTCTTCTAATTTGTTCACCTCAAATGCAATTTCCCCTTCCAAGGAGAAGGCAGGCACTCTACACAGACCCATCTCTGCTGTCACAGCTGAGGAACGCTTCATTGCCTCCTTCTGTGCAGTCAGGCAGTTCTGGAGAGTCCTGGGACCCTCCTTGTGCTTGCATCTGATCAAAACTACCACCCAGACCCTCTTGCAGCTGCAGACTGACAACAGGATTCCATTACTTACCCCTCTCTCTTCTGTTGTGTGATGGTAAGTGGAGGATCCTGCAGTGCTACACTTCACCACCCAGCACCTTGGCCACTTGCAGACCAATGGGCAGAGCTGACCCTGCCAAAGGCTTTTCAGTCCCAGTCAGAGCTGAGCTGTATGGTTTGGGGCTGCCTGATGGGAGCCTATGCCTGAATGCCAGAGAGAGTCTCTTGCCCCTCAGGGTGGCTGGGGCCAGTGTGGTTCTCAGGGAGCTTTTAAGGCTGGTCGGTCCTGTTGAGTCACATCTAGGTGTAAGCCCTGAGTCAGCATGCTTCCCCAGGATGGGTGCCGGGTGGGTGTGTCACCACCCAAGGAAGGATTAGGAGATGCAGGCTAGTGTGGAGTGGTCTCACAAGAGGCTTTCTCCAGGAAAACCAGACAGACAGGGAGATGCCTTCAGATGAGAAAACAATTTTATTTGTGAGAGATGAAACTTGTTTATTCAGCACACAAATCTTCTCCAACTCAGAACAACATCGAGACGGGAAGAGCTGAGAGAAGGGCCATGAGCTTAGGTGAGACTGCTCCCAGGTTAACTCATCCAGAAGGAAAAAGTAGCTCACAGAAATATTAGGCCACTTGGTCAGAATATAGCTTTACACATCATTTTCAAACAGTATTTTGCTTTTAGGGGCGCTGAAACTCCTCACGCTTTTCTGGAGTTGAAAGCACTTGTTTTAACTTCTTTGTCCAGACAAGCTTGCACTTGCCTCTGTGGGATCTGCCAGTTTACAGGCAAGCACTTGAGCTCGGAGTCTGTCCCTGGCTCTGGGAGACAGAATGCACTGTAGGGAGAGACAGAGTTAACCCATCTGGGTACAAAGCTGGAAGCCAGTATCACAGCACTACAGACAGGGACTGCTTCTTCACAGTGCTATCATAAACCTCAATAATAGCTATAAGGCTGTGGAGAGAAGGCTAGTTTTGCTGAGAAACCAAGTCAGCCATTCAACTGATTTTCTGAAAACCCAGGTCATTTTTCATGATATTTCTCTGTTACAGAGAAGCAGGATTAAAAAATCAAGCGATACAGAAAATAAGGACTTAATGTGTATGTACTAACAAGTACCAGTTTCTAGTAGATGTGAACCTATAGCAAGGACATAATCTGTTTACTAAGGATAAGACGTTATTTGTTAATAGCACATGTTATATGACATTTCGTATACTAATAATATGCTTGAGGCGCTTTGGTGGCTTCTAATGCACAGGCTGCACCTCTGATGGTTTGTGTTCACCAGTGGCTCCAAAGGAGAAAAAGATGAGCCGTCTCCTCCCCCACCACTCACAGCCTCAGAAAACCCAATGAAGGCAACTATGAGTCAGTTCTGACTTGATAGCAAAGAGATGATGATGATGAATAATGTATTATTCACAATAGAGCCCAGGTGGTGAAATGGTTAAAGCACTCATCAGTTAAACAAAAATGGGCAGTTTAGATCCACCAGTCACTCTGTGGGAGAAGTCACTCAGTCTGCTTCTGTAAAGATTTATAAGCTCAGAAACCACAGGGCAATTTTGCTCTGTCCTATAGGATTGCTGTGAGTCAGCACTGACTTGACAGTGGTGGAGTTAATTTTCAGCTATGGGTTGGTTCTGACTCGATGGTATACAAAAACAATAATGCATGGATACATACACACACATATATGTCTTATAACTTAAGAGTTATAGGATCATAACATTTTAGCTTCTCAGGAAAGTTAGTTCAAGTACCCAGAGTCTCACGCAGGCTAGGGAGCAGGGCATCATCTCAGCTGACTGAGAAGTGCTCTGCGTTTGGTGTTAATTGTAATCCCTCACCCACTGCCAAGGAGTCTCTCAGTGGCCCTCTGCAGGTTTCTGGGACTTGTAAGTTTTTATAGGAGACTCTGCCTTGTCCTCCTCCTACAAAGCAGCTGGTGGGGCAACTTTCTGCCCTTTCAGTTTAGCCGTGCAACACACGATGCACCAAGCCACCAACACTCCTGGAAGGCCCTTAGGTCCTGGAAAGACCTGACTCCTTTCAGCTTTTCCAGTGTAGTGTCTTTCTGCACATCTGGGACACAGTTCAAAGTGTACATCTCTGACTTTATTACAGTGGTGTTTTGAACCATGTTTTGGGCTGCTAACCAAAACCCAAACTCACCAGTTGCTCCATGGGGAGAGCAGTGGACTGCCTCCTCACAGTAAGATGTACAGTTTCAGAAGCCTGACCAAGGGCTGCCAAGAGTTATAATGGACTGGACGGCAGTTGATTTGGCTTGGTTTTGGGGCACTTGGGATGATCATAGGCAGCTCTGGTGACTTAGTGGTAAAGAGTTGTGCTGTAACTCCAAAGGCATGAAGTTCTAATCTACCATCCACTCTATGAGAGATGGGCAGTTTTTTCTCCTGTACTTTACTGTCTCTGAAAACCTGCTGGAGGGTCAGCTATGAATTGTTTCTTACTTGACAGTATATAACAACAACAACAGCAATGGAATGTTCATATTGCTAGAACAGACAGAATACAGCACTGTAACACACTAACTTTTAAGTAAATTTTGCTTCTTTCCAGTAGAAACTGCCACTTTAATGCTGTCTTCTGTTCATCAGTCATTGCCAGGAACTCATTAACCTAATCAGAGAAAGGAGAGAAACAAATGTTGTAGTAACCATAGGCTACTCATTCTGAAAACGTGAAACATAAACGGGCTCAAGAGATATGAGATTGTCTTCTTCAAGAAGCAGCTGGATTTTATTGATCGCAGGACCCTCTGCAGCCAGCCATGAATACAGAGAGAACTCCCTCAGCAAAGCAGAGGAACAAGGTCTTGTGGGAAAGTTTTCTGCTGCTGCTGCTGAATACACAAAGCAAATGACCAGGGCTGACTTGGAGATCCCACACCCTGCCACAGAATGGACCATTTATCTACTGTCACCTGACTATATATAACATGTCCTGTTCCTTGTATAGTCCACACTGGCTATGATTTTAATACATTGCATGCAAACGTCTGTTCAACAAATTCATGTGTGTTTAAACCAAGATGACTTTTCCCAAGGCCTTGTAGTAATGACTTAATTCCTATCAAATGCTCATCAAAACACGACTTTGGGTGTAGCTTTATACTCTGGGGAAGGCACTTTACCGTGCAGCCTAGCGTTTCCTCAGCGACAGATCCAGTGAGGCTGCATGAGTGGAGGGTGCCTGTGTGGTCAGTGAGGTCAACCAGTATATCAAAGCTAGGGGAGACAACTGGAAATGCCGAAGAGTCTGTGTTGCAAGTTGTACAAGTATTGGACGCTTCATTTACAAGGTAACCACAGTGCAAACTGAAAAGAAACAAAGAGAGTAATAAACCAAATGACAAGTTTGAGTTCTTTGGGAGCATAATCAATTAAAGGGATAAGCCAGTGAATAGAGTAGACCTGGTCATTAATCGATAAAGGTAGCCAGAGGGCTCTCTCTAGAGCTTGGCCTCATCTGCACCATTCGTTGTTTAACTTTTTTTAAAAAATTCATTTCAATGAACATTTACAGAGATTTTGGATTTCCATTCATTCATTGTTGCACTTTTCTCCCCACCCACCCCACCCCCACCCCCAGTTCACTCTCTCATGGTTTAACTTTTGCTGTTCCCTCCTCCTCTGAGATCCCTGCTCAGGCTCCTGGCCCAGCCCAGCTCCTTTTCTTCCTTGCCCCCAACCTCAGGCCTCACCCTTTCTATTCTCTGGGCAGCTGAGAGTTCTGTTCTATCCAGCACTGGGAGCTATTCTGCCCTACTTCACTCTGGTACTGTAGATGTGACCTTTTATTTGCCCATTGAGTTGGTGAGTCAAGAGGGGCAGAAAGTCTAGACTGTATCCCCTGAACATGTACAGAACAACAGTCCCTACATCACAATCCCACACATATATGGAAACAACAGTTTCCTGTGTCCCCTATACATGTACAGAAAAATCCTTGGGGAATTTCCAAGTTCTACTTCTTCATGATGTGGGTACCATTGGTTTTAGACTATCTCTTTAAGTGGTGACTTTATGTTGACCTGTATTTCTGAGGAGTCCTTCAGCCAGTCTGGACAAGAAGACTAATTCAAATTTTTCAAGTAGAGGCATGATCTGAAGATAGTGGCTGCCTGTCTAGCCATGAAATCAAATGTGTAGTAAAGTTTACATGCTTTCCCTCAGAGATCAATATTAGAGATGGAAGAGAAAATACTGAAGGCAAATATTTTAAAAGTATATTTTCAAAAAGTAAATACATAGCTTCATATTGTTGTTAGGTGCCATTGAGTCAAGTACAACTTAGTGACCCTGTGAACAACAGATCTGAGATGTGCCCTATCCTGCACCATCCTCCTGATTACTGATATATGTGATTCCATTGATCAGTGTTAATCCATCTTCTTTAGACTCCTCTCTTTCTCTGATCCTCTACTTTCCCCAGCATGTTTTTCCCAAGTATTGGCCCCTCCTGATAACAAGGTCAAAGTATATGAGACTGTTTCACCATCCCTGCCTCTAAGGAGCACCACTGTTGCATGTGGCCCAAGATATAATATTCTCTTGTTCTTTTGGCAGGCCATGAGATATTCCATACTCTTTTCCAACACTGCAACTCAAGGCATGACTTCTCCTCTTATCCTTAGTCACTCATTGCCCAACTTTTAGATGCATAGAAACAACTTTAAAGACCATGGCTTGGATTATGTACATTTTAGCCTTTAAATGGACATCTTATTCTTAAACACTTTGGAGGGATCTCAGACAGCTATTTTCCCAATGCAACATGACTTTTATTTACTTAACTGCTGTTACCATGTATGACAATCGTGGATCAAAGTAAAATTAAATTCTTGACAGCTTCAATCTTTTCACCATTTATTATAATGTTGTCTATTGCTCTACTGGTGAGGAATTCTGTTTTCTTGATGTTGGGATTTAATCTACATTGAAGGTAGTAGTCTTTTTATTTTCTGCAACAAGTGTTTTAAGTCCTCTTTACAAGCAAGGTTGTATCAACAGAATAATGCAAGATGTTTAGTCTTCCTCCCACCTTAATGCTACCTTCTTCTTCACATAGTCTAGCTTCTTTTTTTTTTAAAAAAAATATTATTTATTTAATGTGTGTACCATCAAATTGGATCTGACTGGTACAGGAGGCAATTGTTCCTCCTTCAGCAGAGCATCTGGTGGATTTGAACTGTGCAACTTTGGGATTGCAGTGCAGTTTCCTGCCACTAGGCCACCAGAGCTCGCCATAGTCTAGCTTCTTGAATCATTTGCTCAGCATACAGATTTAATTACATTAAATAATACATATAAAGGATACAACTCTGATACACACCTTTATTTATTTTAAACCATGTAATGTTCCCTTGTTTTAGATATGTACAGGTTTCACATGAGCACAGGTAAGGGTTATGGCATTCCCATTATTCTCAGTTTTATCCATAATTTGTTATGACCCACACAGTAGAGTGTCTTTGCATTGTCAGTAAAACACAAATAGACATCTATACCATATGTTGTTGTTTTTGTTATGTATCGTTGAGTCCCTTGCGACTCATAGCAACCCTATGTACAATAGCCCTAAACTCTGCTCTATCCTTTGCCAGTTACACTGTCTCTTACACACCCATCCTGATTACCCCAGTCACTGAATCAATCCACCTCATTAGAGGGTCTTCCCCTCCTGCGCTGTCTCTCCACCCTCCCAAGCATGATGGTCCTCTCCAAGGACCTGTCCCTCCTTACAACATGTCCAAAGTATGTCAGGCGAAGCCCCAGAATCCTTACCTTCAAGGAGCAGCCTGGTTTATCCCTCTCCAGGATGAATCTGTCTGTTTTCTTGGCAGTCCATGGTACATTCAATACTCTTCTCCAGCACCACAGCTAAAAGGCATCAATTCTCCTTCTATCCTACCTAGTCATTGTCCAAATCTCTGATGGATAACAAGTGATTGTGAAGACCATAGCCTGTATCAGATTCACCTTAGTCTCCAGAGTGACACCATTGCTTTTTAGTAGCCTGGAGAGGTCCCTAACAGCAGACTTTCCCATGGCAATGCGCCTTTTAATTTCCTGGCTACTGGTGCCAAGAGTGTTGACTGTGGAGCCAAGCAGACTAAAGTTGTTAACAATCTCAATCTCTTCACCATCCATCCTGATGCTGCCAATTGGTCCAGTGGTGAGAATCTTTGTCTTCTTGACATTGAGCTTCAATCCATACTGAAGGCTGCAGTCCTTGACCCTCTGCTGCAAGCATTTCAGGTCCTCCTCAGTTTCAGCAAGCAGGGTTGTGTCATCTGCATAAAGCAGATTGTTAATAGATCTTCCACCAATCCTGATGCCACACTTCTCCTCATAGAGACCAGCCTCCTGGATAATCTGTTCTGCATACAGGTTGAAAAGGTATGGAGATAGAATATATCCCTGGCATACACCTTTCCCAATTTTGAACCATGCAGTGTTTCCTTGCTCTGTTCTGATGACTGCCTCTTGGTTCAAGTATAGGTTTCGCATTAGCATGATTAAGTGTTCTGCGATTCCCATTCTTCTCAGAGTGAGCCATAGTTTGTTATGATCCACAGAGTCAAATGCCTTTGCATAATCAATGAAACACAGATAGACATTCTTCTGGTACTCCCTGCTTTCAGCTAAGCTCCATCTAACATCAGCTACAATATCCCTAGTGCCATGACCTTCTAAACCTAGTCTGGACTTCTGGCAGTATATAGATGCCCCCAAATTAGGTTTTCCAAATTTGAACACCAGATCAGAAAATGCTTTATTTTATTTTATTATTTTTGTGTGAGTGTACCATCAAATCAGATCTGACTTGTACAGGAGGAGATTGTCCCTCCTTTCCCGGCAGAGCATCTGGTGGATTTGAACCGTGCGCCTCTGGGATTATAGTTGCAGCTCCTTACCACTAGGCCACCAGAGCTCCCAGAAAATGCTTTAAAAAGCCATAAGTCAGTGTCATCTTGACTGTGGCAGTCCATACAAAACAATACATAATAGATAAAACTAGAAACACACTCACATACACACACAAAAATGGGGGAAGTCAGAGTGAGGGGGTAGACTGTAGCCAGGGCAATATCCTGGCTGTGAGCCTGACCTAGAGTTTTGTATAATCAATAATACAACTGGAGACAATGTGAAAAGTGTACTGAAATCTATTATTTTTTTACAATTTTTATTGTATTGTTTTTAAATGTACCATCAAATCAGATCTGACTGGTACAGGAGGAGATTGTCTCCTCCTTCTCCAGCAGAGCATCTGGTGGATTTGAACCGCATACCTCTGGGATTGCAGTGCAGTGTCTTGCCACTAGGCCACCAGAGCTCCCTAGAAATCTATTATTTATGATTACATATGAACCTACAATTATCTCAATAAAATAACTATTAAAAATCCACAAGGAGATTTTCACAATATGATTTTAAATACTTCTTGCAGGTATATTTTGACTAAGATTATTAAGCCTCCTCAGGTTGACTTTTCCATGCAGGTGGTTGTTATGTATCATCAAGTTGGAACCAATTCATAGCTGACTGTCCAGCGGGTCTTCAGAAGCATTAAATATCATGGGAGAAGACTGCTCATCTTTCTTCCACTGAGAAGCTAGAGGATTTGAACCATCTGCCTTTGGGTTAACATGGCAACTCCTGACACTAGGCCACCAGAGTTCTCAGGCAGGTAGGTATTATATTTCATGTAGTGTGTGTGTTGGAAATCCTATAGATCATGTAGTTGACAATATCTTTTTAATACTGTCATTTGGCATGGTAACCAAAGTAATTATCTACTAAATTACAAGACAATAATTTTGTCATCCCAGTTAAATGTTTCTGTTGATACGGCATTTTTTTATCTTTTAGGATTACAGAAAAATAGCAGATTAAATTTTACTTGAAAAGGAAATTATAATCTTTGAATAAAATTATTTGGTATGGAAACTCTTCAACTGAAGTCATTCCTCTATGTCTTTCAAATATATAACGAACACCTTTGAATTTTACAGAGCTTAAACTTACTAGTAAGAACTGATTTTTTCCCCCCATAAAAATGATAAGAAGTGCCTGGGCCCTTGGGACTATGGGTCTTAGTCCCCTTTGAGCCTGTAACAAAACTCATTCCTGTGGCTAAACAACCTATTTAACCTTTGGCTAAACAACAAATAGGCCTATAATGTGACCAATAACATCAGGGAGGAACACACTACTTAGAACAATCAACCATAGGAGATCAGAGGTGCAGCACTTGCCCAAGGATGAATCCCAGAAGACAGGGAGGGGTAGGATATAGGAATGAATAGATGGGAGAATCATGGGTGGGTAGAAGATGGAGAGTGCTGCTGCAGCATAGATATTGTAACTAATGTCACAGAACAAGATGTGTCTGAATGGTCAAGTGGAAAATGAATTTACTTAAATATTGTGCTTTAAAGCACAATTTTTTTTTAAGAAAGAGAAATGGATTTTGATTCTTACAAAGATGAACCTGCTAGAAGTAACTTAGCTTCTTACCATCTATTTCGAACTACTTTTGTTGTTTCATCATCGATGCTCAGAGCAGAAATGTAAGCGTAAAGAATGCCACAAAAAGGATCTGCTTTATCTTCCTCCTTCAAAGTTTTCCCCTTTATCTGCTTCACGGTGTAGACATCAGATATTGTGTTTACTAAAATAAAATAAAACAAAACACATAATTAAGTGATTCCAGTTTACATATATTCTAAGAACTACAAAGGATTATATAAAAATAGAAAAGTTACAAAGCCAAGTAAGAATATACACTAGTTTAAGTAGCAGGAATAGTATTAATTTGTTATATTAAAACTGATTATAGAAATAGACAAACAAGAAAAAATAAGATGAAAAGGGAAAGGATAAGCTATCAGTCATCAGTAAAATGAAGCATTTCTGATGATCAAAAGAGTGATAAAATTGATGAATGGGATCTTCTAAAGATTAAATCTTTGTGCTCATCAAAGTTTTTTTCCAACAGAGTGAAAAGAAAAGCCTACCAACTGGGAACAACCATTCATTTGGCAATACCATTTCAGACAAGGATCTCATAACAAAAGTTTACAGAAGACTCCTGGGCCTCCAGAAGAAAAAGACCAATAACCCAATTAAACAATGGGAAAAGGACATGGAAAGACTTTTCACAGAGGATGACATTCAGGTGGCCAACAGACACATGAAGAAATACTCTAAAACACTAGCAGTAAGAAAGATCAAAATCAAAACCACAGTGAGATACCATCTCACCCCAGTAGCAGTGGGAAAGTTTAGTAGGGCAGAATCTATCAATGCTGGAGGATGTGGAGAGGTGGGAATTCTCACGCACTCTTGGTGGGTTTATAAGATGGTACAATTACTCCAGAAGGCAGTTTGGTGTTTCCTCAAAAAGCTGAACATAGAAATTCCAGATGGCCCAGCTATTACACTGGGAAATTAGACCTAAGACACAAGTGGAGATTTGTATACCAATGTTCACAGCAGCATTACTTACAGTCACAAGAACATGGAAACAGTCCAAAGGTCCAACCACAATCAAACGGTTTGAAAGACTGTGGTACATTCATATGAATGCTGTAGAATACTATACAGAGCAGGGAAGCACTTGCTGGATTGGAATTGGGAAAGAAATGTGCCAGGGTAGAATTCTCTCCCCATACTTATTCAATCTATATGCTGAGCAAATCATCTGAGAATCTGGACTCTATGAGGAGGAGTGTGGCTTCAGGATTGGAGAGAGACTCATCAATAACCTGTGTTATGCAGATTATACAATCTTGCTTGCTGAAAGTGATGAGACCTTGAAGCATTTGTTACAGAAGATCAAGGAATACAGCTCTCGATATGGATTGCATCTCAATGTCAAGAAAACAAAGATTCTTACCCCTGGACCAATCAATAGACAACATCATGGTGGATGGAGAGGATACTGAATCTGTCAACAGTTTCATCTTGCTTGGATTCACAATTAACATGCTTGGTATGAGCAGTCAGGAAATAAGGAGACACATTGCACTGGGAACATCAGCAGTTAGGGATCTTTCCAAATTATTGAGGCGTAGTGATGTCAGTTTGAAGACTAAGGTGTACCTAATCAGGCTATAGTCTTTCCGATGACTAGCTATGCATCAGGGACCTGGACAATGAATAAAGATGATGGAAAAGATATGATGCCTTTGAGCTGTGATGTTGGAGAAGAGCACTGAATATCCCATGGACAGCCAAGAGAACGAAGAGATATGTCTTGAATATGGTGCAGCTAGAGTGCTCTTGGAGGCAAGAATGATGAGGCTTTGCCTCACATACTTTGGATATGTTGCTAGGAGGGACTGTTCCTTGGAAAAGGACCTGATGCTGGGAAGGGTGGGGGTTAGCAAAGGAGAGGAAGACCCTCAACCAGGTGGACTGGCATGGTGACTGCTGAAATGGGCTCTAGTGTGTCAGGAAGTGTGAGGATGGTGCAGTATAGAACAGGGTTAAAAAAAAAACAGGGTTCAGATCTTTTGTTCACAGCGTTGCTATGAGTCATGCTCGACTCACTGGCACCTAATAACAACAACAGAAGGGTACCAAAAGGCTAATAAAAACATTGACTTCACTAATCATTGTATGTTGTTGTTGTTGCTATATGCTGCTGAATCACCTGCGACTCACAGTAATCCTGTGTACAACAGCTCTGAAGCCTGCTCTGTCCTGAGCCTGTCTCACTGACTCCAACAGACCTACCCCCATTGCCCTAGTTACTGCATCAATCTATCTCATCCAGGGTCTTCCTCTCCTGGCCACATGCCCAAAATATGTGAGACAGAGCTTAAAATCCTAGCCTCCAAGGAGAAACTTGGTTTCACCCTCTCCAAGACATACCTATTTTTTTCTTGGTTGTCCACGGTTTGTTCAAGACTCTTCTCTAGCACCACAACTCAAAGACATCAATTCTTCTGTCATCCTTCATCACTGTCCAAATCTCTGATGCATAGCAAATAATTACGAAGACCATGGTCTGGATTAGGTGCACCTTAGTCTCTGGACTGACATCATTGCTTCTCAGTACTCTGGAGAGGTCCCTGACAGATTTACCTAACGCAATTAATTTTTTTATTTCCTGACTGCTGGTCAAAGGGTGCTGACTGTGGAGCCAAGCAATCTGTAACTGTTAACAACCTCAATCTCTTTTTCATCCATCATGGTGCTACCAATTGGCCCAGTGGTGAGAATCTTTTACTTCTTGATGTTGAGCTTCAATCCATATTGAAAACTATAGTCTTTGACCTTATGTAGCAATGCTTCAGGTCCTCTTCAGTTTCAGCACGCAAGGTTGTGCCATCTGCATAATGCACGTTGTTGATGAGTCTTCCTCCAATCCTGATGCCACATTCCTCCTCATAATGTCCAGTCTCCTTAATGATCTGTATATAGATTGCATATAGATTGAAAAGGTATGGAGATAGGACACATCTCTGATGCACATCCTTCCTGATTTTGAACCATGAAGTGTTTCCCTGCTCTGTTCTGAGGACTGCTTCCTGCTCCCAGTATAGGTTTCACATAAGCACAATCAAGTGTTCTGGGATTCTCATTCTCCTCAAGGTTAACCATGGTTTACTGTGATCGACACAGTCAAATAGCTTTGCACAATCAATGAAACACAGATAGATATCCCTCTGGTACTCTTTGCTTTCTGACAGGATTCATCTGACATTGGCAATAATATCTCTAGTGCCACAATCTCTCTTAAATCCAACTTGTATTTCTCAAAGTTCTCTGCCAATGTTCTGTTCCAGTCATTTCTGGATAATCTTCAGCAGGATTTTGTTTGCATGCGATATGAGTGATATTGTATAATAATTTCCATACTCTGTCAAATCACTTTTTTTTAAAATGGGAATAAATATGGATCTCTTCCAGTCAGGTGGCCAGGTGGTTGTCCTCCAGATTTCTTGGCACAACCTGGTGAGCATGTCCAGGGCAGCTTCTGTTTTTTGAAATATGTTCAATTGGTATTCCATCAATTCTTCAGGCTTGTTTTTTGCCATTTCTTTCAGAGCAGCTTGATCTTCCTCCTTCATCACCACTGCCTCTTGATCATATGTTGTTTCTTGAAAGTCTTCTGTGTCAACCAATTCTTTTTGGTACAGTGACTGTATATTCCTTCCATGTTCTTTTAATGTTTCCTGGATCATTCAATATTCTGCCCATAGCATCCTTAACTATTGCAACTTGAGGCCTGAATTTTTTCTTTAGTTCCCTCAGCTTAAAAAATACATTAAAATAATAAAAAAAGAAATGCATATCAAGTTCGGCTCTTTTGAATTTTGAACTCCAGTTCTTTGCACATTATAATACTTTACTTTCTCTTCCCATGCTGCCCTTTGAAATCTTCTATTCAGCCCCTGAACATGTTGATTTCTTCCCTTTTCTTTGGCTTTTCGGCACTCCAGTGCAATATTCAGAGTCTTTTCTGGCACCATTATGGTCTTTTATTCTTCTTCTGTCTTTGTACTGACCTTTTGTATTCTTCGTGGATGATATTCTTGATATCCTTTCACAGCTCATCTGGTCTTCATTCATTAGTGTTCAAGGCCTTAAACCTGTACCTGAGTTGGTTTTTAAGCTCAGGTGGTCAAATTTTGATTCCTGTGGATTTTATTTGTCCTTCTTTAACTTTAATTTTAACTTCCATATGAGTAGTTAATGGTCTATTCTGCAATCAGCACCTGGCCTAGTTTTCACTGCTGATATTGAACTTCTCCAACTATTCCTTCCACAGATATAATCAATCTGATTCTTGTGCACACCATGAAGTGAAATCCACGTGTATAGCCTGTGTTTTCAACAGTTTCTACTTAGAGGACAAATAATACCCCACACAGAGAGGGAGGAATTCTCAGACACTGTTGGTGGAAGGGTAAACTGGTACAAACTTTGGAAAGTTATTTCAGCAAATATCTGAAAAAGGAATTCTACTCCTAGTTGTAACTCAATGGAAACACAGATAATTTACACGACTTGTAAAAAAATACATAGACGCTTTTGTAATAGAAGGGGAAAACGGAATCAGTGAAATAGAAAAATATGTAGTGGTATATTCCATAGGGCTGTAATCTGACTTAAAGGCAATGGGGTTGGTTTTTACATTCTTTTTTTTATTAAATTTTATTAATTTTAATGAACATTTACAGAGATTTTGGGTTTCCATTCATTCATTGTTGCACTATTTTGTCTACCCTCCCCTCCAGGTCGTTCCTCTTTTTTTTCTTCCCCTTGAAAGTCTGTTTTAATTGTCCAATTGCCACGGTGCTTGTCAAAGCCAGTTCTGATTAATCTCCTTTGTCAGTGTGTCCTTTGCCATTCCCTATCATTCCTTCCTGAGAGAGACTTCACCCTGATTCATAAGAAAAAGGGGATGGCATATTCTCTTAGCTACTTCCTGCTAAAAAGGGACGCTGTAGGTTTCAGGGTGAAGATCTTCTCTCATTACTCTAAAGGGCCCATTTGGCAATAGGAAACATGTAGACTATTGTGGAGATTGATTTTGGAATTTATATGCACTGTTATCAATTATGTTTAGCTGTACATATTTATATCCTTGAAGATGTATCATGGAACTGTTGGAGCCTAAAAGGCATAAATTTAACTAACAAGTTAAAAGTACATGAG